TGTTCTTCCACACTGTCATTCAGCACAGTCCAGAAAAATACCTCAAGGGTCAGATGAGAGCTCTCATCATGTGAAGGTCAACAGTGACACAAGCACAAGTGTGTATAATTGAATAATTTTAGGCTGTAATTAGAAGATTTTTAGCCTTCTGGGGAATTAAATTCTGGAACAATCTGGTAATGGAAGTAATAGGGCATTAGAGCTAAGTGCTTTCAAGAGCTAAGGAACTTTATCAAAGGGATAAGTTAATCAATGTCCATAAAAAAACTTAACAAAGACCTCATATGAAAAGGACTCAGGAGAGTGCTATTTGCTATGCTGAAAATATATCTGGATAAAAGTCTACATCCTATGTGATCAAAGTGAAAATTGCCTTAAAAATACGATATTAAAATGCTAAGTAGCAGTGATAAGCAGCCTTTGATGAAAGGATCTGAGACAAAAGTACATAGTAGTATTACTCCTGCCCAGTACATCCCAAAGTAGAATATTTTCCTGTGAAGCAGTAATTTTTTTTCACAAAAAAAACACCAACATACAAAATCTAAACCAAGTATCATTAGTATTCTGTACTAGATTAGGCTAAAGTTGTAGGTATGTTGTAGGTTATGTTACTTAGGGAAAAGTAAAAAAAAATGCAGTGGTTAACAGTTTACAGAGTGCAGATCAGAAATGGCCCAAATGAACATTGTGGCCCGAACACTTCAGACACACATTCTCTGGAGAGATACATGGACTCCATGGGAACTTGTTGCCTAAACAGACCATAATTGCACATAACAAAGAAACAGAGTAACTCATCATTCAATAATGTTTTGTCCACTGCAGGTGGTAGAAAAATTACAGGAGGAGACGTCAAGGCTTTGGTCAGACAAGCACATAAATTCAGTTACACAGATTGGCTGGCCTTCAGCATAAGACCCACACTTAGTCCAAAAGAGACTACATGGGCTGCCCTTACTAAAAGAGTGGTCTCCAGTTGTATCAAGGGAACAATAATATAAAGCTACTGCTATCTCTTACCACCAATATAAAGAGAAAATAAACAATCTTGTGGCTGACTGGTTTTATTGGGCTACTAGAAAGTAACATCTCACCAGCATGTCAGGCAAACATGGTTCTTTCTATAAATACTGTACATTCTGCCCATTAGTACCTGCATTTCAAGATGCTAAGTACTTTTCACCCATAGCAAACTCTATTTGGAAAAAATTGTTACCACATCATCATTAAAAGTTATTTTTCCACCTGCCTTGTCGTTGTTCCAGTGTGCACAACTGCACTTTGCAACACATAAATGGTGCATTAGTGATACAACATTCACCTTTTACAGCTATTTAATCGCAGTGTCACAGCTTCTTTCACATCTTCCAGGGTACAGCTTCTCACATTAAGTTTGGAGGAACTCACACACCAACATCAGTATCTTAACTTCTCTATCAATATTCATCTGATACTGCCAATCACTGTCTGGCTTTTTGCAAAGTGCTGTGAGAAAGCTAAAGTGCCAGAGGCAATGAAAACCAGGTTCCTCACAGGACACAGAGACTGAAATACAGGAATAAATTGTTTTCAAATACAATTATTCCATATAGGAATTGGTCTGATCTTCATTACCTTGGAAAAAATCGTCCAATTCCACATACAGAGAGCATAAATGTTCTTGGCTGATATGTGTGGCAAGTTTTCAAATTTCATAACTCTCACAATTTTCTGGTTTTTTCTGAAGATGTAATAGGCATCAGCTTCTTGTTTTAAACTCAGTCCATTTCAGTGACTTATGTACAGCTGTAAGAATTTATTTTCTTTTTGAAAATGAGAGATCAAAGTTAACGCAACTAAGCAAAATGGAGCAGCATAACTGAATTCTATTGTCGTTTCTGCAGCTGGAGTACATGGAAACTGAGATCCTACTTGTGATGAAAGTCAATATAGCATGTCTCATCTTTGCCATGTACAAAGTTAATTCAAGTTTTGATAAAAATTTTAATGCAATAAATTGAAATAAAAAACACACTTAGTACCTGGCCATCAAGAGTATCTATTATTGGGAGCATTTGATCATAACACTGATATGGCAAGAGCAGTGAAATGTCAGAGTAGATGACCTGTCTTATCCCATGAATTATGCTGGGCTAAAATATTTTTTAGTTAGCAGACTGAGGAAAAAAAAAATTAAAATAGCAATTTTGAAGAAAGCTATTTTGCATTCAAATAGTACATGGAACATGGGCTTTGCATATGCTATTCTAGTCCCCCAGTGAATAAAACCCCATGGTTTCCTTCATGGCCTATCAAAATGATAAGCATTCCTTCTTTATTCTGCTTTTCACTTTTATTATTATTATTGTAAACAAGTTCCTTTGTGAAATAGCTACAGAAAAATATTCAGCACAAATACAGTTAGATTGAGACCTAAATCTGTGCAGTCAGTTTAGATTATAGCTGTTTTAGCAGAGGCACAGCCATTGATCAAATGACTAACAAAATATGCCTGGGATTATTATGACTATAAAACAAATATAAAATATTATTTATTTTCTTTAACCTTCGCAGTTTAGAAACACATGGTATAAATGCAAAGCATTCAAGATCCCATGACAAACTAAACAGTCTGAAAATTACATTAATATCTTCTGCATGAAACTTACCTATGAATTCATTTTATGATAGAAATAGTCAAGTTGCATGAAAAATTGCAAGGCAATAGGAAATGACTATGAACATTTTTCATAGAAGTAACTGCCAATTTTTTTTACACAATCTATAGTTCTCTGTTGGTCTTATACACCTAATCATTTTCCTCCCCATTCCTGTTTACTCAAATACATGTAAGATTTTTTTTTCAATATATACTAGATTTTAGTTTCACTCATAACATCATAATTTCCAGAACATAATTTTGCCCATCAACAGCCCATGTACTTGCAATGGAAACTGACTTTTTATGGCCTCTCAGTCTTCTGGGAAAATTAAGTATTGATATAATTTCTATTCCTTTACATTATTTTGAATAATTCTCAGAACAAAATTGCAATTTAAAGCCAGAACAGGCCCAGAACAGGCCAACATAAAGCAAATGATATGAAGTAAATACTGAAAATAAGAGTAATTATGAGTCTTTACCACTCTTTTTAAGGATAGCACCACAAAGTTTTTAATGTGCATACGATGCAGTGAGAAGGTCAGTGCCTACAAGTTTGGAGTACCTTCCATGGTTTAGCTGCTGTCCTACAATAAGAGGCAAAAAACCCAAGAGAATACACCAATAGTTGTACAGCAAGCAGAAAGCTAAACTGAACTTAATTGTGCAATTGGTCATTCATTATTCAGGCTTACACTACTTTCAAGAAAGTTACAGCATTTTACTAGAGTTGGATCAAGCCATGTGATGAAAAGACAGCTGAAATAGAAATGTTCTTCAATAATGTATCTATAGAGAATTACTGCAAATGATACATTCCTGTACCAGCATAAAAGCACTCGATATTTTTCTCTATAGGAAAATAGAGAAAAACATCCAGTTTCAACCATAATGTTCGTTCCAACCATAATGCTAAAAAGGGACTGTACACCCCACATTACCAGATTATTTCAGCTACCAACATTTATTAGCTACTTTGGCTGTTTGGGAGTTCTTTCTTTCAAATATCCCTCAGATTTACTTCAAGCTAAATCTTCATGTATCTAATGCCAAGTACATGTTATACATAAGATTTGTCTTTCCTATGATATCAACATTTTGCATCCCAATGAAAATATATTATGTTGTTAATACTGCTTTGGAAAGCCATATTCCCAACACGTTTCATCTGCATAAGGCTCAAGCCAAGAGATTCCACAGAGAAAATTCCAGTAGTGTTTCTTGGGAAAGAGACCTTGACAAGCAATCCTCAAAATGCTTTGCAGAGTTGCTGCCCAAGACTTAAAAAGAAAATACCTGCTAGTGACAAAAAGCTATATTAAAATATACATGTGAGTATCTATCAGAAGATGTTAGACCAAGGAAGAATTTTAAATGCAAACATGAAAATTTAAATCAGATTTTAATACAAAATTCTGAAAACCTGTAAGATAAAACCACATCATTTCCACTTTTTGTTTCAAAATTATTTTATCTCTCAATAATATAAAGGAGAAAAAAAATCCTAGTCAATGATAGTATTACCAACTTGGCATATAAGTTTTAGAATAACTTAAACAAGAAATTCTGATTTTTTTTTCATTCAGTAAAAATGTTATACACAAATCCAAGGCAAGAAAAACACCTCATTTGCATTGCAGTCCTAATTTCAACACAGAAATTCTCAAAAGCCCTATCTATAATCCTAGCAAAGCAAAGCCATGAACCAGGGACCTACTGGTTCACAGGTCAAGAAGGACAGGTTGGCTCATGTCCACCTTGCAAAGGGCAAACTTCCTCTGGCAGGTTTGTCTTAGCAACAGCTAGCCGAGAACACTCCGATACAGAGCCACAAATCAGGCTAGCAAACAAATAGCGTGCATGACCAGGATCTAGTGCCCCTTATCACCTTTCTCCCTTTAACCACACAAATGTGGCCACACCAAGTTCAGGAGCTTGCTTTTGCTGTTGCTTTTGATGAACTGGAAGTTAACTTTTACATCAGTTTTGAAGACCTATCTAGATACAGTAATTTCTTCTGAACACAAAAACTAAATAAATTAATGTTGTTCTTGTGCATGCAAACTTTACTAAAGTATGACTGGCAAATTATTGTAATTTTGGTTTTGTTGGACTATGCAAATGGAGAATATAATTTATATACCTACCTAGTTTATTGGCATGTTGTTTCCAGATACAGAAATAAATAAGCATGAATATATAAATTCTTGCTTTTCAAAATAGGTTGATGCAATAACTTTTTAACTATTCAAACAACAGTTCTTCAGATCCTGAAAGGCAGAACTTTCAGCATATATTATGTCAATTGAAGCCAAAGCCAAAAGCAATCATAAAACATACGAAGATTACATGACTTTTCAAAGAAGACTCTGGAGCTGTTTGCTTACTCTGGCTTTCTAGATACGCAGCTCCCTTAAAAAGACCAGGAAATAGTCTTTAATGTTTCACAAAGAAAAACAACATTCTCAAGGATATTTCATTTGCCTACAGCTGCACATACATGTCATAATCTCAGAATGCCATAGCCACTAGAGAGGAATGCTGCTTTGTATTTGTAGAGTCTTAAAATTTCATAACAAGGCATTATTTTTTAAAGTTCACTAAATCAGACTGTAGTTTTCTTTATTTTATGATTTAGTTCACAGCAAGAATGAAAGCCCAAAAGAACATAAAAGTTATTTTAATTTCAGAAGTTGCTTTGGTACACTGACTGTAGGGCTTGTTTAATGCACATCCTCTTTGCAAAGGAAAGTCAAAACTGCTTTTTAAAACAATGCTATGGCTGCATTTCTTAATGAAGCTGAATAGCTGCTGTCAGTAGTCTTAGCAATAATTCTGGAAGTAAAATATTCAACATGCAATGTATTAGATCTACAGTTTATTTATTGCTGGTACAATTTAGCAGAACTGACCAGGATGTTTCATACTATTTGTAAAGTGGTTTCTAATGGAAATCTAACAAACTTCATAAAACTTTTTGTGCATTAGTTGATAGTGAGGAACTTTAACACTGTACAGCTCATGTTTAAAACTTCCAAAAGTCTTTAGAATTATTAGTAAGGTTCATCGTAATTATGAAGAAGTTGTTTATGATCCATTAAGACAGCAAAACATTTGGTTGCTTACTATTCTGCAAAAATGTATGTGATTGGTAAGATTTGATTGCATCCAGACAATAATCCATATTCTGTACTGCAGATACATTCAATTACATCCTCAATATAAAACTTCTTATCATCCAAATAAACAAAGTTCTATTCAAACAGTTTTGTATGAGCACTCAGAGAGAAATACAGCAGAATTAGCTGTACAATTTATACCATCAATACATCTCTCAGGTATAATTCTATCTCTACAAAACTACCTCAAAACACATGTGCTATTTCAGTCTTAAATGATCAGCATAAGGCTTAGAAGGGATTTCCAGGTTACCTAGATTTTGAGTGCTTCTCAGCCAAAGAAATAGTGAAATTTCAACTATTTGTCATAATCACATAAGGTTCAAAGATACAGCTTAGAATGAAAAGTAGTTTGACATAAGATTTTTTCAAACATCAATGACAACTGAAAAAATTCTAGTAATATGAAGCAATGAAAGCATAGTTTAAAATTACAAGAAAGTACCTACTATCCAACAGCTCGCACATGTGCATTTATACACATATTTATGCTTAAAATACCAATGTGCATTATTTTGTGTTTAAATGACTTTTCTGTACCTTTTAGAAATGTTCCTATTTCTTTAATATAAATATTCCTATAAAGAACATATTTACCTCAAATTACTTAGAAAATTACTATTGAAACTGATTATTTTCTTTCTTTCTCCTGTTTGACCGTCTGGTCACAGATCATGAAAAACACAATAAGCAAATCTATAATTTGTCTTTCAGCAACTTTGGAAAATAAACAAAAAAAACATAGTCAAAAGCCTATTCAGAATTTTACTGTACAATTAGCTGAATTTTTTTAACATGTTTCACTAATACTAACCAAAAATCTAAATGAAATGCCCAACCCTGTCAGCTTTTGAGAAAATATGCTTTAATTTTACTTTACTAGAAGCAATATTAGAAGTAAAATCAGTTAAAAAATTAAGAAAAAATCATGATACATTATGATGTTAACTAACAATGGAGGCTCAGTAAAAAGAATGCAAGGCAAAGAATGGAATAGTGCACTGTGGTTTTATTGATGGTAGCAATGACAATTTGCCTCTTTCATATGTAAAAAGTATTTAGCTTCATTTAACTAAGAACTTTAAAAAAGTCTTTTGTGGTGTCAGGTCCAAATTCCTTCTGCTCACATGAGCTTTCTTTGTTCCATCCTGCTGCTTGGAAAACCCCAAAATTTCTTCTAGAAGAAGTGTTCAGCAAGTTGGGAGCTGCCAGTGAATTCCCCCCGACTCCAAGAAGGTTTCTAAATGAAAAAACTAAAATACAACAGATAAGGACAAAAAGTATTGGCACTTAAGAAACCATAAGCACCCCCCATCCCTGGGATCTGCAACATAGGCTACACTGTCACTTTATTTTCTTCCTCCAAAAGAGTGAATATCTGCTTTTCAGTACTTACAGAGACACAATTGTTTAAAAGAATAAATCAGAAGGCTGCACTTCAATGCAATAAATATGATCGGTCCAATACAAAGAACACTTTCTGGTTTAGACCTCTCTCTCACAAAACCACAATTTCTCCATTGTTAAGGACTTCAATACAGATTTTATAGCAAAGGTGGCAAGGTGTTGATTAGCTCTGTCATGAATTAAAGGAGGATCTAAAAAGCATATAAGGACCAAGCACTTACAGATATACACTCATAGGTTCTTTCAATCTCCTCCAAAAGTTCTGACCCTTCAAAACACTCATTTCTGATTATTTGCTCGGCTTTGATTTCAGACTATTAAGACATTCTACATAGAAAGTGTAACCTCAGGATGCATTTTTATTATTGTTAGATTCTAGATCTTGTATCGTGCCTCTCTAGGAGGAGTATCTTATTTTACAGACCTGTTAAACCTAGTATTGATTCATACCCACATAAAATTCCCCCTGACTGACTTAAAGTGCTGACTTAGTGTTCTCCACCTCACACTGCTGGATATTAGTAAATGATAATGTTTATGTCAACTGCAACCCCAGTGAGGTACTGACTATCCCATACTTCTACTTTATCTATCTGTCTTCATAAAAATCATCAGGTCAAAACTTCCTGCAAATCTGCAGTGTTCATCCCCCTCCATCTTTTTTAGAAGTCCCCTTTTAAAACTGAAATACTGCAATAAGATCCCTTTAGACTCTTCCCCAGACTGAACAGCTGCATTGATCCAAATTCCACTTTTAAAAAACAACTCAGAATTTTAAAATCTTGAACCTTCTTCCACTTAAGACCCCTTGAAGTACAGACAAAGATTTTGAACTGATTATTTGGTAATAGCTATTCCAGGTGTGTATGCCCAAATGCAACACCTGAATGAGTGTACTGAACACTAATCCAGGAAGCAGTACAGCCTCATTTCTGCGTTGCTGCACCACTGCAGTTGACACAAGTGATATAAGATTATATAGGTAGATCTAAAAGGTTTTGGGTTTGAATTGACACCTTGACTGTATGGACCTCATGCTTCATCTTTGATATATCCCTATCATACCCAATACAAATATAGCCAGCAAACTTCAGTTTTAGTATTGCTTAAATTGCCTTTGAGAACAAGATACCTTGGAATTTTAAATGTTACAAACTACAACATCAAAATTCTATGGAATTTATCAATTTATAATATAAAATAGGAATCACCAATGGTTTTCCAATCACCAATCCCTTTAAGAAAAAGACACTAAGTTAGTTAACACAATAGAGAGATACTCCCTTTAAGTAAGTGAAGGTGTCACTAATAAAAGATCTGTTGAAGAGGTAAAGCATCCTGCAGTGGAAAGTTGTGTTAAAATTATGTCTCACTGGATCCTGTAAAACTTCCCCAATAAATTCTGTTTTCATTTAACAGGTTATTAAAAACTTGAAATAAGAACACTATGCCATGCTCTCAAAAGATCTAAGAAATGAAAATGAGGCAGAATCCATATAGAAATCAACTTCTAGGAAGTGACAGTTAATATTCCTGAACTTTTACATATCAAGACATGAAAGCTACATTGTTGTACAAGTCCAGGTAAACTGAAAACAATTTAGAAAAGGACTGGGTTTTATTTTCTGCCTCCATTTAAAACCAGTGAAGAATTGATTACACCAACCACTTATTTTTGGGAAAGCCCAAGGGAAAGGAAAAGCTGTGAAGGCTTATTTTCTGTGTCAGGTAAGTTTTGATACCGGATCTACTGTCTATTTAAAGCAGGACCCCATTATAATCTTTAAAATAAAGTATAGGAACTCCTGCAAGGAAAAATCATCTGTGCCTTAGAGAGGTTGTTCCTTATCCACCAACAAGTAACTTGTTCTTGAGATAAAGGCATTACTGCCACTCTCCCTGCTGCCTCATAGCTGACCAAAGCTAAGTAGAGTTTTCCAGATTTATACTGTAAAATTAGAGAAATACCAAAAATATTTCCTAAGAAACAAAAAAATTCCCTGGCTTTGACTGCTGTGTACACTTCACATCTCTCATTCAACTGATCACCCTGACACTGCTCAGGGCCAACTCTGCTGTTTAAAACTCTGCTCAGTGCATATTCCAGAATAATTTGTGCATGAACTGTCTCAGGACATGTTTACTAATAGTGATTGATACAGGTACTTAAAAAAGAAATTCAAGTTATACTGGCAAAAATAGAACAATTATCACCTCTCTTACATTGCCAGTACTGCCATAAATGAAAAATACATTTTAACATATACTCTAAAAAGTAGAATCATATGTTGCATGTCAGAAATATCAAAAGGTACGAAGATCAGCTGCATGTGTTAAGCCAACAAAATGTGGAAGACTAGAGTAATGAAAAGAACAAAAAAGAGATTGGTAAAAACAAACTGGCTAGTAAAAAGAAAAATCAGATTCAAGATAAAGACATACTATGGGTGCACATCAAATATTAGTGACTTATCAAAGCTTTCTTTAGTCAGGATAGACTTCAGACCATCTTTTGTGTATTAAGGATTTAGAATACCAACCAGTGAAATGAAAGCAGCACAGTTTATGAGATTTGTTCAGTGAAATTACTGCAACTGTTTAATCTGGCTGACTTTTTAAAATGTATTAATCTATGTAGTAGGTATCTTTTCTAAGGAAGATATAAAATCCCTTAATTTCTGGTAATTAATAAAGTATAGGTACAAGTCTATCCTCAAGATTCAGAGTATCATAAATATTCATTTTCTGTTCACCTCCCTATTTAATGGTGAACTCACAGATTTTATATTTCTCCTTCTCATGCAAGCACAATGGCAGAAAGGATGTTTATTCACATAAATGGCTAATAAAAAGTAGAATATGGGACCTTGGACAGAGCTAGACAGTCCTGAGCTCAGCAGGGACTGCAGCCACTTCCTTCAAATAAGCTTGCTTCAAATGTATGTGAGTCAGAGAATCTTGCTGCTGCTGCTGCTCTCAGATGAAAAAGCATCAGGAAAAAAACTTTCTGAGATTATATGAGTCTTGACATAAAGCAAAAGCCAAAAGCTATTTGTTGAAGTGTTTTTATTGCTTTCCCTCTTCCCACAGATATATTAAGTCCTCCTAAGACACAAAATTCAGAGAAACAGAGATATCCAACTTCTATCACAAATATGCCAATATCCCTAAGAAAAATATAGAACAATCCAGATTTGTTTATCTTGAAATCTAAACCAATATATAAAGCACTGGTACCTTATATTTACCTTTCTTTTCTCATTAATCAGTTTCTAGCTCGGGGGGGTTGATAAAATTGTTGAGTGGGTCGTGTGGACCGCCGTGGCTGACCATCACCTCCTCTGCGGAATTCTAGAGTTTGCTCATACGTCTCTTCCTCCTCCTCCTGTGGGTAAACAGCATTGTTTTAAACTAAAGAGGTGGGAAATGCATGATGCATGAGTTGGTATTTGCACACATCCAAACGCACACCACATACAGACATATACATGGAGGGGTGAATCCATGCACACATAGCAACTGCTGCTTCTGTGCCCATGAGCACTTACTAAAATAAGTGAAGGATGGAAGTGGGCTTCTCAAACCTAGGAAAGCTAACAACATCAAGCAGACAAATCTCAAAACTCAATCCCCAGGGCAACAGAAGTGATTAAATATTTGCAGGGAAGAAAAAATCATATTTATTAAATAAAAATTATTTTCCAAGAATCATACAGGCAACAAACTCATACAGGCAAAATAACCTCAATAACCTGCCAGATCAAGAGAAATATCAACTTTCAGGAGTTCACAAATGTGTGTGGAATGAAATAAAAGTATTAGGAAATGGAATTACAAGGAATGGCATCTGGAAATATGCATGCTTAATAAACACATCTGAAATACTAGACAAAAATCTATGATGCAGTAATAATGAAAAAAGCCTACAAGTAGAGTGAACAATTTAGAGATGTATTTTCTATGTGCAGCAATAATAAATATATGCTCTGAATAATGAGAGGGGAAGTAAATGTCTGCAATATTCAGTTACTCCTAGGCATCTTCAAACCAGAAAGATATTCACAAAGTATTCAGAGGTGAAAAAATAAAAAATTTTAAAATAATCAAAATACTGGAGAATGACTTACAAAGATTAAAATAACTACATATTTATTTTGGTCAAGAAATAGCGAATGGAAAAACATTCATCTAGTGGAATATCTGAATGTGGTACACATTGAAGAGAGAGAAAAAATTTAAGAGTATAAGAGTTTATATTAAAGAAAAAATTATAGGCTGAAAAAATAAAAAAGCTCACAAGAATGAGTATGATTGTCAAATACTGTCTCAGAAAAACAGGTTTGATTTTATTTCTTTAATATTTTTATACTGTAGCAGACACCAGGTCTAGTGGGAACTTGCTGGAAGAAATTAGTTTTTGGGAAAAAGTACTGGATATGTAACTCTCAATCCCTTTTATTCACAACATAGGAACATAAAGCAACACAAAGCAAGAGCATTGAATGGTTCATTAGAAGTTTATCAACAATTCCAACACCCAGGAACTGCCAGAGTGCAGCATGCACATAACAGATTAAGCAAGTCAAAGCAGTAAAATATTTCACTTTAAGCAACAGAAAGGAAAACCTACAGCTTAAGTTTCTTTCTGTTGTGAAAAGTGAGATCTTACTCAAGAAACTTCTCTTTCTGAATTAGCATGAATATGAATAAACATGCATTTTTAAAGTAACAGTTACAAACAACCACATTCCTCTTGGTAAGGTCTCCTATTTAGAGGGCACATCTGTGGTCACAGCTATATTTCCAGATAAAGCATTACTACAGAGAGCCTGAAACAACTGTGGAAGAAAGCAGATTTTCAGCACTAAATACAGCATAACCGATTTATATCTCTTAGTTTCACTGTAGCTGAAGGCCAAGAAAGAAAGTTCTGCCATAAAACCTTTCTCAGTGTACTTCTTTTACCACCTGTAGTACTATAAATTCCCTCACATAAAGAGGTTCAGAGACACTGATTATAAAAAAAAAAATCAATAGAGCATTAGATGTCTAACACAAAAGTCCCCACACTCTGCAATATTGCTAGCCCGAGTTCAAACACTCAACTTAGTATATGAGATCATCTCCCATCACTGACAATGCAAGCTGCACTAGCAGCAAATGTTTAAAAGTAAGCTAAATGCCTGAAGTGGTCGAAATACCTTTCAGTACACCCTTTCAGAGTATACCTTTCAGTGTATCCTGAGAAACATGAATAGCTGAAAATAGCACAGAATTTAAATAGTTCAGTGTATACCATCTCAACTGTAACAACTAACCTCTTTTTGAGGCTAAGCACATCAGAGCAAATTTCTACAGCAGCAAATCTTCATCAAATCTCAAAGTTAATGTTGTTGATCCTTTGAACTCAGTAAAGCCAAATTAAAACCAGTATCTCTATTATACACTTCTATTTTGGTGTAATTGTCTTTACACAGTGAATGAAAAGCTTCACATGCATGCATTCCAAATTAAGAAATTTTACTGCAACAGTCAAGAGTGAAATGTGAAATCACATTCACTTTCTTGAGGATCTAAAAAATGTGGATGCGAGCAGTGCAGCAAATTGTAATAAAAAACCAAGTTACAGAACACCTTTCAAATGTTCCCTGATTCCTTTCTATGCACAGTGGCTCCACACAATTACTGACTGTCCTGTTGAATTCTGCCATCGTCTCGTCAGATGACACACTGTCATTTCTTGGATCTTACCTATTCACATTTGATCCTAAATGGATCTAATGTTCTCTGAATTAACAATTTGCCAAGTCATCTTTATTAAAAATTTCTTACTTTAGAAGTAACTGAATTGCTTTTCTGTCATCATTTCTTCATCATTGACCCTCAATTCACTACTGCTGATCTTTCACCATTTATTGCCATTTTACTTCCACAGAATTACAGAACAGATAAAGGTTGGAAGGGACCCACTGGGGGTCATCAGGTCCAACCTCCTGCTCAGGCAGGGTCATCCCAGAGCACAGTGCACAGGACTGTGTCCAGATAGTTCTTGAATATCTCCAGTGAGGGAGAGTCCACAACCTCTCTGGACACTCTGTTCCTGTGTGCAGTCACTTGCACAATAATGAAGTTCTTTCTCATATTCAGGTAGAACTTCCTGTGCTTCAGTTTCTGCCCACTGACTCTTGTTCTATTGGCTGGACCACCAAGAAGAGCCTGGCTCTCTCCTCTGGACACCCTCCCTACGTTGGGAAGATTTTACTCTCAGTCTTGTTCAAGCAAAGCAGGCACAGCCTATTTAACATTTTTTCAATTTTAAGGAAATTTCTTAATACCTTAAAGAAACAATTAATACCATTTTATGGACTTTTATCTCACTTTATTTTAAAATTTCTCCACCCTACTAAAAACTGCCATTTTCTGGAACAGCATGCACTCTTTGTAGGCAAAACTTTGTGTATCTTATGTTCACTTCCTTGTTTTTCTGTTCTTCAACCAAAAATTTTAAATGTCTATACTTCTTCCATTATAACTACAGTTAGGGCACTCATCTTGCTATCAACTCTACTTTTTCAATCTTTCTCACTGCTTGCTTTCAATTTATCAGTTGCTTGTGACTCATTCTAAATTATTCTTATCCATATAAGATCTAGATTACATTTTATAAAGCAAAGGTGTCTACAAATCTCTCTTAGAACATCTTTATTCTCCTTCTATTATCAGTAGATGCTTTATATTAGTATGCTGCTCTAAAAATTTATGTATTTTATTATCTCCATACTTCAGCTTATTTTCCATTATTTATCTAAAATTCCAGGATCAAGGACTCTGTTAGTGCTTACACAATGCCCACCTCGGACTATGAACACAGATTAAATGATAGCACTAAGCACAACTGCTAAAGACAGGAGAAACTGGCAGACCCATAGGAAAAAGCAAGGAAAGGTTCACAATGCAAACAATGAAAAGCACAAAGAATTATTTCTGCACTAACAGATTAGAATGAAGAGAGAGAGGATGGAACATGACAGCATTCTTCAGGTATTTAAAAAAAAGAGGACAAACGGGGAAGAATAAGTAATTTGAAAATTTATCTTCCATTCAAAGTTTTGCTGTAAAAATCTGCTGTTACTTTTGATGTTTTCTTTCCATCTCATAAGAAAAGTGAGAACTTTTGATGGCTTCTTTCCATCTCATAAAAACAGTGACAACTAAAGAAGGGCAAAATGGGAACATATGCACAGCCAGTGCTTATATTTTGGACCCATATACTCTGAAGAGCTTGTACCACCACCATATTTGACCAGCTGAGCTTAGTGAAAGAGCAAGTAACTTCCATCCAGATGAGTGACTACCAGCCTGCTTTTATATAAAAAAGTCAATGGATGTCGTAGCTGCAGAATACAGTTATAAATCCAGCATTTAACATACTTCACCAACCAATTTATTCTTCAAATGAACAATATTAGAGCAGAGTAAATTTATATTTCATTAAAAGCTTTCTCTCTGAATTTCAACTGTAAGACTTCTTTCATTGCATTCAAAAGAACTGTTTAGAGACTTATTTTTAAAACACAGTCATTTGAAGTAAATATTTCATACATACATAACTTCTGAGAATGAATAGAAGGATTGCAGTAAAGAACCAGACAGAACTTATGCATTGACACAAAAGCTGTGCTGAATGCTGTGCTCACACATATTTAGGAAGCAGTAGCAAGTCACAGCTGATCAGCTCCTGCACTTTTGCCACTTACAAAGTAGTTACCTCTGTCTATTACTGCTTACAGATAGAAAATTCTGCTCCATTCACTGGGGCCTTCTGCTGAAGCTTTTCAATTATAGCTCTCTGTGGGCTATTAAGGGATGAACACCCAAGCCTGTGCAGGGAGGCATGAAGAAGCAGCATGTAGAAGCAGTGTGGGGCCAGGGACTGTGGGACAAAGAGGAGACAGAAGGCAAAGAAAGAAAGCAGAAGATATTTTCCATTTAGGTAGCGTAAAGCCTCTGTTTCAGTTAAACTGTAGTTTTAACTTCACCCACACACTGAACACATGGGGAACTTGCTGGTTCAGTACAAAGAGAATGTTGGCTTCCTTGTAAAATGACTTTTTCTTTCATGTCCATTTCAAATTCCATTTCCTGATCCAGATTTAATGCCTCTTTGCACTGCCCACTCTTCAGGCAACAGCTGTCTCCTGCTGTTAAAACACCAAGTGATCTCTTTTTTCTTGGTTAAATTCCTTTCTCGGATTTTGCTTCTTTTTCCTAATCATCCAGTGTTGAGTTCCTTGAATACTTGTTTTGGTTTTTGCATTTTCTACTTACCAGTGCTTGGATCAATCAAAAACAGACTGCAAGATTATCCAGATGAATAAAAAAAAA